ATCTTTGTTTGTATGTGGTGCTGAGGACCGAACCTGGGCCGCACGCATGCCAGGCGAGCGCGCTACCGCTTGAGCCACATCCCCAGCCCCTATTTTTTATTTATTTTTTAAATGTGGTGCTAAGTATTGAACTCTGTGCCTCACATGTGCTAGGCAAGCGCTCTACCACTGAGCCACAACTTATAAAAATAAATAAAACAATTTATTTTTAAAAAATATGTTTGTAATAGGCCACCCAGAAAAAGGAAAGACCCTTTCAGCTGCTCTGCCCAGGAAATGCCATTAAGGAGGAGGCCTTCAGTCTTCAGTGAGTGAAATAGGAACCCAGGAGGGAAAACAAGACAAAAAGAAAAGAGCTTTTCTCTGAAATAACTGCACATGAAGAAAAAAAGCAGAGTTCAGGGCTAGGCACAAACAGGGCCTTCCTTCCTTCCTCCCTCCCTTCCTTCCGTACTGGGGCTTGAACCCAGCGCTTCATACATGCTAGGCAAGCACTCTACCACTAAGCTACATCCCTAGCTCTAGTTTCTTCTCTATGTATCCATGACAAATAAGACACCTCCCTCCCCTAAAATTTCTTCGTATGGGGGCTGGGGTTGAGGCTCAGCAGTAAAAGCACTTAGCACTCACCTAGCATGTGTGAGGCCCTGGGTTCAATCCTCAGCACCACATATAAATAAATGAAATAAAGTTAATAAAAATAATTTTAAAAATTCTTCATGTGCAGTTATTTCAGAGAAAAGCTCTTTTCTTTTTGTCTTGTTTTCCCTCCTGGGTTCCTATTTCACTCACTGAAGACTGAAGGCCTCCTCCTTAATGGCATTTCCTGGGCAGAGCAGCTGAAAGGGTCTTTCCTTTTTCTGGGGCTCCATGGGCATTTGTTTGAGTCAGACAGGAATGATTCTGAGAAACTAGATTAACTTGGAAGGCATCGTCGTTCCTGTATGTTTGCTGAGGTTATAAATGCGCGTAATTTCAATGAGCCGTGAATCTCCTCGCCCAGTACCTTTCCTTTCACATGCGCTGGAGAGATCATGGGAGCTATCCCGGGGTGACATTAGGTGCAGAATTGATCTCCAGAAAGCCATTTAAAGTATATTCTGGAATAATCATGTGCTCAAACAGGGAAGATGCACTGTATTGAAATTAATAATGTACAATGTAATGGGTAGCCATTTAAGGATTTGTACTTGAATTATCCCCCCCGCAAAAAAAAAAAACTTTTTTAGTGTATTTTTGGAGCTTACATATCGGGACCTGGGGGAAAAGATCCACTTGATTCCACACTGATCAGACTATCCCAGAGTGTTGTGTTCACTTTGGGGTACCCAGAATGATGTTTACATCATTTGGGTCTCTTTAGAGACCCAAAGCCAAGTCCTAGAATACCACATGGAGAAGGGGCTAAATATTTCCAACTCAAGTAAGTTATTCTTTGTAAAAATGCACCTTAGTTAAACTGGGATGGGAACGATTCTAAAGAGCCAGCAAGCTCACAGTTACTGTGAGATCTGCTGATTTGCTGCCCAGCACCCCTTTACCTGTCAGATAAAACATTACCCCAAATTTCCATCAGGAACTGCTTCTCCCCAGCTCAGTCTGAGGGTTTGAAGGAGGCTGCACCCATATGGGTTGAGCCCTGGTGGCTGTGGGTGAACTATTGGTCCTATTATGTAGTACGGTGGTATGCTTAGTTTAGCTGTGGGCCCTTGTCCCAGGGAGAGGTAGGCTGAAAGCTTTTGTGTCACTCTTTCTCTGTCCACTGGATTTGAAGCTGAGAGGATGTAAGAACCACTGCTCAGGCCATTTTATGGTCTGGAGAGGAGAACCTGGGAATGGAGTAAGCAGAGCTGGCAGGGAAGACTGGATTCTAGTGGCTTTGAGTCTCTGGTCAAGTCCAATCTGTCACTGAAACATTTGAATTGTGGGGGCCAATAAATCCCAGGTTTTCTTTCAATACTTCATTTCATGTTTTATATCACTTAAACCAAAATTCCCCTGAGCAGTGCCCAGAAGAGCGATGATGGAGAGGGATCCAGGAAAGAGGAACTTTGACAGCACCTGGCAAGAGTAGGCCTGTTTGGACAGGTGCAGGTGGCTTGATTTAAATAGCACATGACAACCTATGTTTGATGTGAGGATATAAGCTTTGTAGCTTGTCATCCCAATATTGTGGCCAATATTAGCAAATTGTATTTATGAAGTAGCTACCATGATGCAAAAGAATAATTTGATTTTAAAATTACCTGTGGGTACTTAGGGTTTATTCTACAAACCTGCCAGAGAAAATCAAAGCATAAGAAGTCTTTTGAACTGGCTAATACGTGCTTCCTTTTCCATTACCCACTTTGGCACAGATTCAAAGTTTCTCACTCATATCCATTGTAAAACAAGTGTGTGAGCAAGTTGGTACAACGTGGGGCTGATCTGAGTCCTAGAGACAGTTCCGTGGGAGACAGTCACCTGGGGATATATCATCTGGGAAGCACCAAGCCTTTGAATGAACAGGAAATGAGACATGTAGGGCGATGACTAATCTCAAGCTTTTTTGCTCCAACCATGCACAGCTGAGATGCCAGCAACCCAGGACTGACAGTAACTGACTCCAATCCTTCCTTCCCTTAGTACACAGAACACTAGGTGCCCGGGAATTGGCTAGATACAGGGATAGCTAGTATATACGGCATACTCCATACCCTTGTGAAACTTACAGTCTAATGCAAAAACACACAAGAGGACCATTCAGAACAGGTAGTAAGTGCTAAATGTGACTGATGGCTCCTAGCAAAGAGAAAAAGAGGGAAGTGGGTAGAGAGTTTAGCAGGGAGCAGATCACAAAGGGTCTAGTGCGGCATGTCAGAGATGATGAAACTCAGGAGGTGGGTAAAAGGAGTCTTAGAAGGGATGTAGGATTAGGGGCTTAGCTCAATGGTATGGCACTTGCCTAGCCATGTGTCAGGTTCAATTCCCAGCACAGGATAGAATAAAGGTTGTGGGGAGCAGGGAATGCTTAGCAAAGATGTAACGGAGAGTTTATTTATCTGTTGGTTGACCCCCATCTCTATGAGAGCCCTCCCTGCCAGTTACATTGTAGGAGTGATGACTCCTCATTAATCACTCTGTGTCACTCATGTTTCTCTAATCTGCACTTGATCAAAGATGGCCACTCAAGACCCTCTCCCAGGTCTACTCCTGGTGAAGGATAAACATGTTAAGATGGTTAAAAAAGGCGCACACCTGTAATCCCAGCAACTCAGGAGGCTGAGGCAGGAGGATCAAAAGTTTGAGGCAAGTCACAGCAATTTAGTGAGACCCTGACTCAAAATAAAGAGTAAAAAGGGCTGGTAGAGCACCCTGGGTTCAATCCCCACTACCCGCCCCCCCAAAAAGGGCCCAAAAGACCAGTCTTGATCCTGTTTTTTTATGAAGGATCTCCTACCAATCCCCTTTGGTCTGTACTGCTATAAATAAAGCAAGCTCAGGTTTTTTCTCTTTGCTAGGAGTCAGACCCATCAAGTCTGCTCCACATGTTACTGCCCCTGCTTTAAAAAAAAAAAAAAAAAGACCAGATTCTTCCAGGTATGTGGGCCTGCAATAGGAAATCTTATAGGCTACTGGTGATCATCTTTCAGCCAGGTGCAGGGGTGAAGCAGAGGAAAAAGAGGAAACCCAGGAGCTTACAGACAGATAAGAAAAAAGCAGATATAGCAGATACAATGGAAAAGTGATAGAACACAGCCCCAGTGGTGTCCCAATTCCAGACTGCAATCTGTCCTTGAGTCCTTTATTTATTTCCTTAGGTTTCATGAAAACCTCTAAAAGAATTGTTCCTGGGGCTGGGGATGTGGCTCAAGTGGTAGCGCGCTCGCCTGGCATGCGTGCGGCCTGGGTTCGATCCTCAGCACCACATACAAACAAAGATGTTGTGC